TATGTCTTGAATTGCTTCGTTTTCATTAACTTCTTTCGAAGCAGGATTTCCACTTATAATAATGTTACTTTCTTCTTCATTTAGATCAACAAACCAATCATGAAATATCCCTTTAAAGGTGACTTTGATAAATCTAATTGCTTGTAAGACATTCCAATTTTTGTTTGCTATGGCTATCCAAGTAGCTTGGGCCCAATCACTAATGACCTTCTCAAGATTGGTAACACAATCTAGATCTAGCCAAATACCATTTGTACTAATTATCTGTTCTTTGACTCTAACTGGCGTTTCGAGTCTAGATTGATTTCCAAATCTTTTACTCTTTTTATCATATATTACTTCATGTGCTAGATTTCTATTTCTTCTATAGCTTTGGCTTATGCTGGGTTTTACTCCAGGTGGCATTGGAAATTCTGTTAGGGGTATATTAGGATGTGTTTCATTCTTTTCTTCTTCACTTTCCTCTTCTATTTCCTCCTTTTTAGTATTCATTTTCATATTTTCTAATTGTTTAGTAGTTATAGTAATCTGTTTGCATAGATTATCTAGTTCTTCTACATTTTCTTCTTCTAAGAATATTTTTGTTCAAGTTTTTTAAACTTTTCTTCTTCAGTTTTTAACATGAAAAGTGTTATTCCTTTTGATTTCAACTTTTCTGTGAAAATCTTCAGGATTATTTTAAATCCTTCATTTCTATCTACAATACTTCGCCTACTACAGACTGGTATTATGGTATCTTGTAGATCCTTGAGTTGTGTTTGGATCTTATAAAATTTTTTATCTATATCACTTTTTAGTTGTGGAATTATTCTATCATACATCTTTAAGCTTTTATTGCAAATTTTTCAGCATTGCTTTTAATATCTTGAAAATTTCTTCTATTGATTTCTATTTCTTTTGCTCGAGATATCAAAGTCTTTGAGTCTATAATAGACCTTATTTCTTCTTTTATTTCTTTCAAATTTCTAGAATTTTTAACATCATTTATTCTTTTTTTAATAGAATCAAATTCTTGAGAAAGGGATTTTCCCATTTCTTAAGGTATTTTCATTAATTGTTTCTATTTTTAGAATCTTATCAATGATAATTGTATCTTCTATATCTATTATACTTTTACCCAATGTATTGAGTAAATACATGTTAATTTGGTTTATTTGTTCATTACTCATGCTAATAGAAGTGTATTAATAGTATTTTGAGTTGTATTTATTCTTTCTCTTTTTTTTTTTTTCTTATTTTGTAGTTAAGAGTTCTAACTCTTATTGTATTTTCAATACTTACTTCTACAGCTTCTTATTTTAAGTTTGCCACGTTTCTCTCTTCGAATTGAGCTAGTTGCTCAATTTCATCACAAATTCTAGCTAATCTATCTTTATAAAATATTCATTGATTCATTATATTTTATTGGGATTATAGTGTCACTTTTTAAAAATTTAAAGGACTGTTCTATTTTAATTTTAAGTTGATTCTTCCATCAAAACTAACGAAATCTTCTATAATAGACTATTCTGAAATACTTTCCAAAGTTTATAGACTATTTAGAAATAAAACATACTTTCTAGACTAAAATAAAATCAAATTAATAATTAATAGACTAATTATTGAATTAAGCCTTTTTTAGCATAAAAAGAATAAGGGGTTTACACTCGGGTCAAACCCTTCAACTGACGTGGAGTACGGGTGAGTAATTTTAGTCTAAGTTGGGTATGAGTTATATTCGGTACTTAATTTAAAAAATTAATATAATTTTTTAAATTTGATAGCTATTTTTTTTTTTTGAACAATTTATAATTATTTACAGGGTTAATTGGGAGGAGGGGGGAAAGGGGTTTCGTGAGGTTCGAACGTGCAACCCACGGAGGTTAACAGCCCTAACCCAGGGTCTAATACCACTGGGCCGGAACGGGCCGTTCAAATTTGATAGCTACTTAAATATTAAAAAATCTATACTTAATACTTAACTCAATAATTACTAAGTAACTTGTGAGTATATACTTATATTTTTTTTTTAAGAAAAGAAAAGGTTTAATATAAGATATTGTTGTTACTTTGTGTTATGTATTTGGTTTAAAATTTATCATTTATCCAAATTATTATTATTATTGTGTGTGTAATTTGTTTGGTTATATGTTTTATTTAACTTTTATTTTTAATTTTTGTATTTTATTACTTTTATTTTTAAAAATT